CATGGATATGGACGTGGGATTTCTGTATATGTATATGTATCAGTCACGTATTGATCTAGTATATGTATTTATCGCGTTGTAACTGGCTGTTAGTGAAGCCGGTATAAACTTTATACTGTATCATGAAATATTGTCATAGAATTATCAAATATGATAAAATGAAGTTTTAGTTGGAATTGTACAAAAAATGTCTACTATAAATACGTGTAAAATAGATAGTATAGTTGCATTTATGCTACGTATATTTCATGCATATGTGCCCATATGTTTAAAATACGATATTATCGGTGAAACGTTTTCTTTTTGAGTACATAATTGGTAGCAGTAGCCCGAAAAAATTGTACATTGATCAGAAATATATATATATAATGTTACGAAGAATTCAGCTTGTTCAAATATTAATGTCCAAAGATATAGCAATCTTGTGGTACGCGTTATGATGGTGTACAAACAAATACCATTCGCGATTGCGTTATTTACAGATAATGACAAAAAGTAATAATTGTTTTATCTAATTACAGCATGAAACGTGTGTAGGGGATCTTATTCTTCGCAATTAATTCATTCAGAAGTCTAAATATTTACCAGATGACTATTTTTCATAGATAACAGAAAACTATTTGTCCAATTAAGTTAATTTGTTATCGCATATGGCACTAGACTTCCGATGATTAGGAAAATATTAATTTTCCGATTGACATAACAACAAACATGATTACAACATTAACGAAGATCGTGTTTATCATCGCTGTTTCATGCATAGTTCATTCTCATCTAGTAAGAAATATACATTTCTTTAACCTTCTCCAGTCTTATGCAAGCGATAAAGGAGAAGCTAAACTGTTTTATATCTTATCTTTGTGTTCAATAAAATGGTAAATTTGATCACTACCTGTGATCTATCAACGACCGTAGTTCTAGAATGAACATAAACTTGAGGCTTCTTATAAAACCGCGATAGCGAGACGCTCCTAGACCAGTAATCTATAGAGTGATTGCTAAAAAAGAACGTAAATTATCGCTTGCGAGTGGTTTGTGTACAAGCGATCGCAAATAGGAAACACGTGCAGATGGTTTGTCCATGATCTCCGTGACTTGGTACAGTGACGTTGCGATTATATTACTTATACAGTAGCAATTACTTTATAAACAGGAAGCTGGCGATCATGCTGAACAGAGATAGGAAGACAATATTCATGCAAAAAATGACTACTCTGCTTCGTCGGGAATTTCGAGGTTGAAAACAACCTATGCTTTCTGGCGTTGACGATTATTCGTATAAAATTTTAGTCGAACAACATTTCGAATAACATTTCGAATATGTCCTTCGAATACATTTTTTGAATAACATTTTATACAACCAATGTTTCGAATAAAATTTTATTCAAATAATATTTCGACTAAATTCTACATTCGTTATTCGAATAAAATATGCGCAACTTTGCCAGTAAATCGATGTTTTCTGAATTTCCTCACGAAAAGATAAATTATGGGTGATGTTTACGGTCGTTTTATATTATTTAACACATTTTTATATCTGTAGCTATAAGGAAAAATGTCGAATGTCACAGTTGTAAAAAAATTCAGTTTATGCATTAATTGAGCTAGTGGAATGTAGGATTTATGTATTTGTGAGGAAAAGGCTAAATTCAATAGGATGAAGAAAATAATACAATTTGAAAAGGTAGAAATACGAATAATTGGTGATCATGACTTTAAGCGACGACCACAGATATTTCCAATTGGAACACATCGCTCTCAATAAAAGTTATTAAACTGTGCAGGGCAAGACAAATAAAGTGTCAGCTTTCTCTGGAGGTACAGCAAACATTGACTCCATTTTTTCTAACTGAAATAGGACAGGAGGGATCCAAAAAATTCGAGCAAATGTTATCCAGTTCGTTAAGTGCTATCTAAACAAAGAAGTACATCGTTCCATAATCGTTCCATAAAAAAATCTGATAAATGCCACTTTTTTCGAATAATCAAACTAAAATACTCGATTGCACATGTTTCACGATGTACGTCAGAGTTAAAAAAACGTAGAACTAGTCATGTAGCAAAGAATTTTCCGGTTGAAAAGATACTTAATGCGGGTCGCCAATAAATGTGCACATTTTGATTACCTTGATGGACCACGAATAATTAAGCACCTGAGGATCCACACGACGATTCGTATTGTATTATGTAATTACTTAATTTAATGAAATGTCATCTTTGAGCAGTGAATTGTGCAGAAGTAGTTTATTCATGATCTATCAGGGTGATCGAAAATAAGTACATAAGAAACCCCGGAATTTTAGGGACGAGCGACGGATGTTCGTTCCGTTAAACGCGACCGTGTACATTATTATGCACTATTACGAGGTTATAGTCTCCGACTGTGTTGTAGCATTATTGCAGCTATGGTAAGTTGGCATTCAAGTCACTCGTCACGTTAAAAGTTGCGTCTGCTTTCGCCAAGAATGTTCTTTTTATATCATTCTTCGGGGTGTCCAACGCCGAATCGATATGTTACTTGCGTCGTACGCCGGCTTTTATTGCCTCTTACGACTGCGTTCCCCGAGATGCATCATTTTTATTAACTAAATTACGCGCGCACAGTTTCGCGCGCGTCTCGGCCGACACGCTTATTTTTCCGTCTGCGTGTGCTGAGAAATGCTGAACGGGACCTTGGCGACGCCACTGTTGTAGAAAATCCCCAAACGTGGCAAAAGTTTTGTACGGAAACATTATTTTCAGTAATTTTTACGACGACATTGAAATAGTATGATCCTAGATTATAATGTAACATTGAACAACAACTGCAATATACATATATGCTATTGAATAATATAACCTGTTCCATTTTTTGTTATTTTTGTGTACAATTCTTTCACCTTTCCAAGGTTTATTGTATAGATATTATTCAATGCAGTAAGTACTTTATTTTAAGAGTTAAACAAAATAAACAGATCCGAAATTTTAACGCTAATTATTCATCCCTTCTATTTACAATTAGAGTACATCGAGTTCCATCTGTACATTATGATAATAAAAAAAAGCAGTTGCGACCTTTCGCAATCGTAGTAAATGAATTTTTGCCACGCTCCAGGGATTTTCGATCGCCGTGCGACGTTCGCGACGACACATTGTAGATTATCAGTAGGAAATCGCAGCCCGGATGCTTGAACAACCGAGGGAAACTCGAATCGAGTAAGTCGACTGCTCGTATATCGGTCTTACGTCGAGTGTTTCGATTCGGAATCCTTGCTGCTGTACGGAGATTTCGTTCGAGCACATAACGTCACAAAAAATGTATTCACGCGCTCCATACTGGCTTATCAATGGGCGTTATCGTTGACACGACAACGCTGCATTCATATTTCCTAATTGAAGGTTTTTCCGGTTTCCGCGGAAACCGGACAAGTCCATTTCTCGGTGAAATCATACTCGTTGAATTTTTACGTGTTTCTTTATATTGTCGGTTTTTCGCAGCAAGTATTCAACCTAGTCTCCCGATGTTGGCGACCCCTGAAATTGTACTTTCAACGCCCAATTTCAATTACAAACGAGAATTTGCATATCTAAGAATACACTGTCAACGTGAAATCGTGTCGTGTTGTGCAAATAGAGGATTCTTGGTTTATATGGAAGGTTTAAATAGACTATTAATATTTCGAAAATACATGTACCGAAGCACGTAGAAGCGAAATTCGTCGTAAAACCGAATTTATTACCTTACCTGGCACTTCGCGATATTCATCATTCAACGAATTACTTGGATCAATACTATTAACAACTCCTTCTGAAATTGTTATTTATTATTGAAATTGTTACTGCCATTGAAAAGTCGATGAAGATGTTACTAAGTATAAATCATTGTTAAGGATGGCTGTTATCCTGTTCTTTTAAGTCGACATAAAGTTCCGTCCTCCCGTCAGCGATACTTAAACATAAATCCAAGTACACGGTAAACACAAATTTCCCTTCTCTTCGAAGAAATCGTTTTAATCAAGAAAGTTCTTATAACGTTGACGACAATGGTGAGGATTAAGAGGCCAGTACAGATTTTTCGATTTGGTAATTTTCCCGGAATTGCGAAATATTTCGAAGCAACGTTTACGCGGAGCATGTTTACGCGGTTAATTTTAGCGTAAGTGGTTACGCGAAGGGACTTTATTCAAAGCGATTTTATCACGATTCTAAATCTAGCGATTAGGCTGCTAGATTTAAAAGCAAATGCGCAAACAGTGTCGTCGCAATATGGATTATCGGAACAGGACGAATCCACATTGTGCGCGACGCATCGCTGCTAAACCGTGAATTCGAGGCTTCAATGCCTGCTGCGGGATATTTGTTGATAAACTATTGGACTGGCTACTTTTGACAAGCATATAATCACTCACGGTTCAGCGGAGTTGCATACATAGCGTGCAATACGGAACTGTTTAGTACAAATACGGTGGCATATGTACGTAGACATTTATTATTCTATGCTGTGACACTCTGAATACGTATCCACGCTGTCCCGTTTCAGGTATTATAAATCCACATTTTGACTGGTTCGTTGGTGGCTTTGTCCGTGGCAGACCTTGACCTTAGTATCGTTGAGTGTTATAGGGCACAGGTGCTTAATATGAAACCAGTTTCTTTTGAAATTGTAGTTTTCAATTGAAAATATTTTTATCAAAAGTAGATATACACGTTTTAGTATCGACATGCTTAGTGTCTCGAAGGTTTTGTTCCATTGAGATTTTAACCCTAGGACTGCTTCAGTGGTTTGATAAGAATTTTTAGACCGCAGGATTCCTGCAATCTCAATTCTTGATCTTTTTTGCTTGAGGACTTATCGATTCCATGTTTTATGGATGCTGTTTACGTATCTTGTCGACCGATTTGATAGAGATACTTTGTCATATCATACACAGTTGTACAGTTTACCTTTTTAAGTTGATCAATAACTCCTCGAACTCACGAGCATCTTAAGAGAACTCACTGCAGTTATATTTCTATTACAGCCTCAGGACAAGGGGAAATACATCCTCGAATATGTATGCAATCAACTTAAGATCAAGGAAACGGATTATTTCGGACTTCGATACGTGGATCACTGCAGACAGAGAGTAAGTTTGTTTTGGTTCATAAATAACGTTTGATTATTTAAGAAGTTGATATTAGAAATTGGTAGTTAAAATCCAATTGTAAATGGTACGCAAAATGGATTTTATGCATTTGTGGCAAAAATTTCATTTTGTATAAATCTCTACAGTTTGGTAACAATTAATATTCAACTGAATTGTGTTTAAATGTTCTACTTTATGTCGATCTGTTCTGTTCCAGCATTGGCTAGACCTGGCTAAAACGGCAATTAAGCAAGTAAAAGGTTAGTTTATATTTTCATTTTTTTATATACTCCTTCAAACTTTTCTATGTATAGTTTTAATCGCATAGTATTTTCGACGTGATATAATGTCGTAGTATAAATACTGCGTAGTATAAATGTCCTGCGCATTTTCGCACAAGTAATTTCTGTCTTTGAACATCCAGTGAAAGAAAATTCATTACGGAAGAAAACAAATTGACGTGGAAATTTCAAATCATTTGCAATCAGAGTCTTTTACGTAATATTATCATACCTACTTTTCGTATCATCCCCTTTGTAGTCACACCCATTACGGTTTGATGTCCAGTGCATGCTAAGCAAACGTAATAACGTCGCATTCGTGAACAACATTACCTTATCACGCATGATCCGTAACAATTGTCTCGCATGAATGCTGATCCTCCATAAAATAATATAATAAAAAATTTTGCTTACGTTTGCGTTCTGCGCATAATGGATCAAAGTGAACGTGAATTCGATTGCATGTAACAATGAACAGCTGTGACCAAGGCTTCGATTGCAATTTCTATTCTATAGTCGTTCATTGTGGGTCGATGTCACATGAAACTTTCAGACTGTAGAGACACGTTGTACTATTCTCATAGATGAGTAAACATAGCGATGTTTATTTCGGTAAGAATTGCGAGAGGAAAATACTTGGCTATAAAATGGTGAACAACACCTTGGAAAAATTAATTGTTGAACGTTCCATTGATTTAAATAATAACTACAAAAATTCCGTATTATAGTTGATAGTTGAAGGAATTTGGGGATCACGTTACTATTACAGTCTCTTGATGGTTCTGTTTCAGATATGGACCCGATCCTGTTCACCTTTCGTGTAAAATATTATCCGCCGGATCCTCTGAGGCTACACGAAGAAATATCCAGGTATCAGATTTATCAGCAGCTCAAAAGGGACCTTCTTCATGGACGACTGTGCTGCAGTCCAGGTGAAGCATCGCTGCTGGCGGCGTGCATTGTGCAAAGTAAGCCGTGTTTCTTTTTCAAACAATCATACCTAAATCACAGGGTATACCGCTCTGCCTTACCACCTGTATTATTTATACAAATATTCCTGGATGTCAGTAAATATTGTACAGCGTCTAGTAACTTTGTTATCGTGGATATCAAACCGTCTGTAGAAAAGGTTGCAAGAGTCCATGTGTCATGATAGGATCGATCATGCAAAGTCTTTATATATTTCTTTTGCAGATATTTCAAATGTAAATTATTTAAAAATTATTCTATATCTCATTTTGTTAATTCACAAGTGTCTATAATATTCCTGAATACAGCAATAGTAGAAGCAAAAGTTAAATAAATTTTAAATGAATTTTCTAAGTAATGACTAGACTACGGATCTTTATGCAAAATAAAAATTGATTGCATTAATTGTGAGATACATAAGTTAGATGAAAAATAACTTTGCTTATTTAATAATTGCAATAAGAGGAAATTAATGTAATAATATCCTTTAAATAAACGTATAAAATCCGCAGTCTTGTTAAGAATGAAGGTTTGCAATCTCTGATGGACATTATTTTTGCTGAATTTAACAACACTATAGTTGTTTTTCAAAAGAACTTGATCGAAGAGCTGTACTACCTAGATGCGAGTAATAGTTTGTAGGATACCTGAGGATAGTTTATGTAAAAATTCGATGAGTAAATTAATTAATGTTTTCTTGTTTCTCGTTTCAGGTGAACTGGGAGATTATGATCCCGAGATTCACGAGGGAAATTATATTTCCGCGCACAAACTGCTGCTCAAACAGACGGAGACTATCGAGGAGAAAGCTATGGAGCTGCATCAAACACAGTTAAAAGGATTCACGCCAGAACAAGCAGTAACTCACTTCCTTAGGTTAGCCTCTCAGTTGGATACGTACGCTGTTGATCCGCATCCCGTTAAGGTAAGTCTTGTTTAATCCTTTATCTCATGAACTATTTGGAAGCGATCGTGCCATCTATTTCATTTTTACCACGACTTTCGTTATAAAGGAAACTAACATATTTTAGTCAGTATTAACGTTCACGAATATGTGAACATTGTAACAAACTTTGATTTATTACTGCATATTAAATGACGATTAAGACATACCTCAATGGATAACTTTTGATGGCACAACTTACAACAAATATATTCGTTGAAAATTGAATTTACAAATTCATTAACCAATATTTTCTTGAATACTAATTGGTAGACTGTGGATTTTATGCATTTATGCCAAAGAATTATTTTAAATGAATTTAAAAGTATGAATACACATTATTTCCAATTTATTGATGTGATTAAAAAAAAAACAAATTCTCCATTTAACTGAAGATCTGCAATCAACTAATGGGAATTGATTCAGTTAAAATGATACATAGTGAAATTTTCTTCTTAAACATCACAGTTATTTTTCATAAATATAAAAATGGACGAAACGCTCAAAATTGTCTCATGGAATTCGCTGCCACATCTTCAATTTTATTTATTTACGCAGCTTAACATGTATATAACAACTATAAAATGAAAGATAATTGTCTTTGGGAAAAGATTGTTAAACTTTACCCTGGTTTCTCGTGCCTTAGGTGTATGAGACCCTTAATATCAAAGACAGAAACATTAGGCGAGTATCCTCAAAGTCTCTTTGAAATTATAAATCCTTGACTTGCGACATAAATCCTACGTAGCGTCGAGCGGTAACTATTTGTTTAACCAACCTCAGTAAACATCGTGGCAAGCGCAGTCCGTTGAAGTAGAATTCGCTGCGGAGGACTCATGCGGTTTTCGATGTGGTGACAAAACGTTCTTGTAAATGTAGGATTAGCTGCTAAACTTGCATAGTCTTGAATATTAAAAGCCATGGCACACAGCGGATTGTCTTCAAGTCCATAATAAATCTGTATAATTTTATCTGTATAATTTTCCTAATAAATCTGCAACTGTGTTTGTTACGTTAAATGAAATTCATATTCCAATATATTTGAATTCAAGTAAGTAAATTTATTTGCATTCAATACTATTTCGAAATTAGTGAAAGCCTTTTACTTTCCGCAATTCCTAGTACAACCGAGCAGTGGATGATTCTATGTGAAAAAAATAAGAAAAAAATTTGGTATAACATTTTTTTATCCCGGGCTTTATTTTAGAGAAAATCAACTTTAAAGTTTGTTCATCTTTATAAAGCATTTAGTTTAGATTTTACCCTATCTTGGACAGGCACCTGCGGTAGAAGAATAGACGATAACTAAATCTTTTATAAAGTTGAACAGATTTTAAAGTCGATTTTTTCGAAAACGAAGTCCCGGATGAAAAAATGTTATACCAAATTCGTTTACTATTTTTTCCTATAGAATCACCCTCTGCTCGGTTGTACTACGAATTCTGGCTCACTCTGTATAAACAGATAAATGTGTTTTTGAATGACTATATATCTTTCGTGCATTTTACAATCATTAAAAAAATTACTTTGCAACAACAATATCTTTCTATTATTTTTCTTACATATTTCGAGAATCCTCAATAAAATTTTCTTTTTAAAACTTGGAGAAGAGTTAATATCCTTTTTCTTAACGAGTCATAATTAATTGTGTGCATTTATAAAATGTATAAATATTTGAAACATTAAAAAAGGATTGCGATAGTCGTTAATAAATTTTGATATGTTTATAACTGGAAGGATATTACTTCACGAGAATGCATACTACAATTACTTCGACACGTAAGCTGCATCTGTTAGTCAAATCTGATCGCTTGTAGTTATAAAATTGAAACCCGTGCTTATAGACCAGTTAATCATATGAATCAACGTGTTTATTTATAGAAACGTAGTAGACAGCAATATTTATTCAACCTTGTTAAGACTATGATTTTTTTATCTGCCCGTTCATTGAACTATTGTTTTCCTTTTTGTGTTTGCAGGACCAGAAAGGTGTACAGCTCTACCTTGCTATTAATCACTGTGGCATTCTAACATTTCAAGGATTTCGAAAAACACATCATTTCCGCTGGCCGGAGGTTCAGAAGATCAACTACGAAGGGAAAATGTTTATCGTGCATTTGACAATTAGCGAGGTAAAGACCCTTCTGATTCTACGCATTAAAATTTTTCTTTATTTTATGCTAGCGTTTGCTATTGAATATCTTACCAATTTTAATAAAGGACTGAACAAACAGTTCACTTTTCAATGCTAAAACACTGATTCATGTTTCCAGTTCGAGTGTGAGCTACTCTGATTACTATGTGTCAATTTTATAGAGTTAATTAGAAGCTTTTAATGTTCCATTCATTATTTTCAATCGACCAATAAATATAGTATATGCAAATGATAAAAAAACATGTCCAATGCCACCAGCGACAAACATATTAATGATTTAGTGAGAAAGCAGTTTAACATAATTCTATATGTAACAAATTGACACAACTAGATTAGTGTCACTTTTTTTACTATTCAACTCCATATTCATTCAATTACTCGATTATACAGGTATTTTAAATTTTTTACAGGTGTGTTTTAATTTATTCAATGACTTGTAAATGATCTAATCCATAACAATATATTCAACAAAAACGTTGGTAAATAAAATGTTTCTAAGTTTCATCATTTGAAATTAAAACTGATTAAAAAAGACGTAGAAGACACGTAATCAATTCGATCGATCTGAAAGTTTGGATAGTTTCGAAAACTGAAATATGCATTTTTAATGTATTAGCCCCCGCGAAGAAGCTGAATCATTAGTATGTTTGTGTATTGGACAGGAAAGTCTCCGTAATAATTAAGATAACGCCAGACGCTGAGGTCAGCCGGTTAGTGTGATAGATGATGAAAGAGTAACCATTACATCAACGTCGTGAAACCTACGTTGGCTTGTTTTTTTTATCAAAAGTCGTCAATGATGTCAATTTGCAATGAGAAATTTTCCAAAATATTTTTTAGTATGTTTACAGTATAAACGATTGCCAAATATTCAATAGAAGTTATAGAAATTTCAGATTTACAGTTATTTTACAATGTAACATAAGTCAGTATACTTTAGCGTATTTTCATAGAATTTATTTTTTATCTGGAACATTAAGGTAGACCAGGATTGCTGAATGGAATGATAAAATGGGTTAAGTTCGTAGTGGTGAATTTATGCGACAATCATATTTAGCAAATCGTAGTTCCCAGGCTCGATAGGTTCGAAAAGTCGCGAACTCGATGATTATGGCAGTATTCGTGACGAGTTGCTGCCCAGGCACGCTCATTCTCGCACGCAAGGGTTCGAGTTAACTGGATAACTATACTATTCGTCACACGACAGTCACATTACAAAATTATTACATACTTACCACGTAGAAATTCTCGCCTTCCCGGGGTACAATCATTTCCTGCCTTTGCACCGACACAAATCAACTTTGTGTTACGCTTTGCTGTATTTATACTGGGTGTTCGATCTAAGTCTACTTTATCGAAAATCTCTTAAAAATCCGCAATAATACTGTGAGAAACGACGAACGTTCAGCGACTAAAAAGAATCGAATAAATTAGCATTTACATAATGATCACCGTTATTACTAGATCCGCTTCCTCGTTGTGCGACAACAACCATGACCCAGTAACTGAACGTAGTTTATAGGATTATTAACTCGACAAGTCTTCCACTCGTTTAAAATGTAACATTTTTATAGAAGCTTCACAATTGTTCGAAACATTTCTTTTGGAAACCGAAAGAGAAATTTTCTTCGTGTTTCTATCATTATATATATAGTGAAAGTATTATTAACCCTAGTACGACACATCCTTTTGTTTTTCGGCATAAGTAACATTGTAGGGTTGCGTTGTAATATATCAGATTTATACATAATATTATAATAATATGTATAAAAAACATACATAATATACATATATAATTATATATGAATTACTATATTATCATAATATATATTATAATTATATATCTTCGCGTCATTATATATTACAGGTTATATAACATATAATCACAATGTTTTAGTAGTTATTTATAGGTTGTTCTAGGGTTAAATACATAGATAGTCGTAATTAGATTGTGCATTATGTGTACACATGACAAAAATGAATAGATGAAACATACAGTTGAAATGATAAAAAAAGGAGATTTTTCTATTTAATTTCTGTAAATAAATGTTTCCTGGTATTGACAAGGAAAATTGTTGTGACAGTAGTCGCAATAACCACAGTCCAGTTATGGTAATAGACACACTGATAGAATACTTTTCGTCAGGGATGTATTATGAGGGTAGTTTCCTGTGCGGGCGAGAGTGTCACGCGTCAGTTAGTAGATGTATATTGCTCGCTCGATATTGTTACGGGTTCAACTAATCTTATTATTTTCCACTGCTGGGCCTATTCAGGACGTGAGGACGAAGGTGAGTCGTTTCGTAGCAGTTGCACGGGTTATACATGTTTCTTAACATAGTTTCGAAGTGTATATTAGTCTGATTGTTGTCACGTATCACGATCGAACTGTTCCCGATAATAATTCGGTCATTAGTGTGCGAATGGACAAGGCTATTGTGTTATTACCGCTAGGAGCTCCAACTAAAGCTGTTGTGGCCAGATATATCAATGAAACCACGCCGTTGTTTGAAGTCGTTCAAATCGGTAATTTGCCTCCGTCTCCAGGATCTCTCTTTCTCCCTTTAACCCCTTGAGCCGGACCATCCCCGTGATCGTTTGAAACCGAACAGACTCGCCGAACACGTACCGTTCATCGAAATTGTCGCGCATCAATCTCTTTGATGATATCAAAAGATATAAAGGAAAAATTCCCGACACCGTTTACCGTTCCCAGCACGCCGCAAACGCGACTCGCGTAATTTTTATTCCATCTCCGTAGTTCGAAATAGTGCGATGCGATTTTATCCTGCGGAGATCGCCGCTGTAAAGTGTTATGAGCTGTTCTTCCGATAAATATAGCACTTTTTTAGCTCTGTCGTAGCTCTTTCCGAGAAACTATCGATTTTAGTTTGCTTTAAATTCAATGGGTGGGACGGAATGAATATTTGATGAGGAATTTCTTTCGGTAGAATGTTATGTTAACCTTTTGGGTCGAATAGCTTTTGCAATAACTTTAAACAATTTTTGCTATTGTTATGTTGTGGATTTTATGCGTGTTATAATGAAAGCGAGTAGGTGAAGTATGAAACAGTAATTTAAGGGTGAGGTTACATCATCTATAATTTATTAAAAAATTATTTAAAGAATAATCTTAATATTTTAATATTAAATCTTATATATTACTCCGGTTTCTTATAGTTGTTTAGTTACTCTGTTTAAGTTTCGTATCATTTGAGAAAAACAGCTTGTAATACTTTATCTGGAAAACCTCGGGTTATTAACAATTTTCTAATATTAATTTGGATTCTCCTTGTAGAACAGTTGAAGATTTCGTGAATTATAATTTGAGATTTCTGTGGAGTGTATCAGTTCCATTCGGAAACTCGACAAAACGAGTCCAGTGTATCAAATGTAGTTTACGTAACTTGTTAATTCGTGTAATAATCCTCTGTCACGCATTCGTGACACCATGTAGGTTTATAGAAATCGTGTAATCCTATTTCAAACTATTTTATAACGTGGAAAGAAATGCAAAGGCAAATTATTGGTGGTCATAAAATATAGCTTATAATATGACGACATTGTGTATCATGGTGACGATATTTATTTCTTGCACGGTACGGTTTCTGCAGTTTTTGTAGAAAAGATTTTAGTTTCTTTCTAAAACTGTTAATTACACAGGTTTTAACTACAATGTGATGCTTCGTTTTCGAGAAAGTCAACATTCAAATTTTGATACATACCATTGTGGAAGTCTTTTTATATCTGTAATTATTACGTAATAGAAATTAACATTTAACAATTAAAACAGTTAAGAATTGATAAATATCGACGTAGTATTAAAATTATCAAAGAAAGAAATCTATAGCTTAGAAACCGAATCATATTCCAAACAAATTTGTTACTGCACATTAGTTAAGTAGTTTATGCATACAGATATGACGGAAATCGCTGTAGAACTTCTCATATGTTATTAAAATGATATTTATCAAAAAAAAAATAAGGAAGCGTTCGGATGCTTTTAATCAGTTTCGCTCGCGTCTATGCTCATAAAAGGTAGATTATGCAAGTTTTGCACAGACGAATTAACCAAACATCGTTCAAACACGAATTTCCCGAAAACGAAACTTTCCAATCAATTATTTCGTATAAAATTCATTGTTCCAATTCAAGGGGTTAAACAATATGACAAAAATTTAACGAAATTACGTAGAGATTGATATTATCTACAAAACTAATGATCACTTACCTTAAATGTCGTACCGTTGATATTACGATATCAGTGCAAAATGTGTGTAAGTAATAAATAACTACGAAATTATAACATTTGTAGTGACAATGTTTAAGTGGTGTGTATTATAGTACACTTAAGTTTCAAGTAGTACTCGTGTAATATTTATCGTTCAGAATTTTTTGGTGAAGAAGTTTGTTGTTAACTTTTATCGTTTTCGTTTGAATATTCCCTTCTATTGGGTTATTGCACGTAAACTTGGTAAATTTTGTTCGCAAAACTGCCGAGTATATTTATTCTTTCCGCTCTAAGATGATAAACGTCGTTACTGTTTTGTGACATCAGTTTCTTCATATTAAAAGTATCGTTCTCGTTAGAAATATTTATTATCGACAATTGTTTAAATTTTATTCAGTATTTACTTTTCACTGAACACATTCAATTAATCTCTTCTAGCATAACATTTTCATTTTATTTTTTGGAGCGAATCTAAAATAATTTAACAATAATTTCATACCGAGTGAAATGCAAAATATTTAATTTATAACAGAAGTTATTCAATTATATTTAATTGTTCTGTAATAGTTTTATAATAAATTAGTAAATGGTTTTTCTTCATGAAATTGTAACGACAGATTTAAGCTATTTTGATAATATTTATTTATAAATCAGAATTTTTCTTTGTAAAATCAACAATCGGCGGTTTGATTAAAGATCGCTTTACATGCAACAACCCGATCAAATTACCGACAACATAGATAACGAGTTTTTCGTTAACTAAACAACTCCTACAGCTCCCGAAGTGTTGTTTCAATGTCGGCTTTAAGCGATTCATTTAAAGAGATTCGTTCGAACGGAGCGATTAGTGTCCGATCGGCGAGCTAGTGATTATTCGGAGACGATTTAATGTGTTGACACAGTTACATGTAGTCGTAGTTCATTGACTCCAGCGTACGATATCTAGTGTAGAGGTTTTTAGTGCAACGTTTTCCCCGCAATTTTCAGAAAAAGCACACTGTTGGGTTTAAGTGTCCCACGGGGTCTAACTGTCGCCACATATGGAGATGCGCCATCGAGCAAATGTTATTTTTCACGTATGTATTCTTTTATTCAGCTGAATCGCTTTCAATGTCTTCGCACGGACGGTCGCAGCTTCAAGCACCCTTTTCTCGCTGCGTTTAGTTATTTCCCGGACCAAATTATGGTAACCGGCAGTAGCGCGTAATACCATCTAGTTCTGTATGCTTTTCAATCATGGCCGTAACACTGTGTCTTAATACTGTCTAATCCCTCAATTGTCTCACCACTTCTTCGAAGCAATTTTAATCATCCTCTGATACTTAGCACTGTAGACTATTCTGCTTCCGAATTGAACTACGGACGGCGGCGGCGCACGGGTCCGTTCGGACCCGGCGAAGGCTTCACCTAACTTCTAATCTTCCGGCTAAGTTAGGGTCTTTCAGGAAAAATAGATTTAAAAAGAATCTGAGAACTTTCGATCAGACAATTTACTCAGATTTTTGTCTAAAAACTAGTACTTATCCGAAAACATGAGTAAATAAAAATTTAATGACGAAGTTCTTGAAAACGTCCGCTTTCCGAAGATTAATCGGGAATCATAGACGCAATGACTTCTTCTGTATAATAGCACACTTTTTTGGTACCAATTCTCATGGATTTTGAGAAAACAGGATACAGATATGTTTAACTACATTGTTGATATTTATGAATATTTTGAAACCACTTTTTAAAAGTCGGATAATTTTTCTGAACATTAATTGTTAGTGAAGAAGTAATTTTTCTGTTTTACATTGGAAAAATGCACAAGATCTTTTTGTTATGAAAATACGAAATAATATTGTTACGTACAATTCAATTAAAAAGTTAATGAATGCTGATATGGAGAGGTGCGTTATTCACGTATTGATTAATGTAACGTTTGAATAACAGTGTTCAATTGACGAGAGGTATATTGCATTTTGTTTCATAATTATTATACGATAATGCAATGCTATTTCTTTCATAAATGAAAATGTGTGCTTTTATTAGGAGTTGTGAACAACGAAGTTAGTGAAATTACATAACTCTTTATAGCATTGAATGCTTTGGAATAAATTGTAGTAGACAGTCGACAAAAACAAATTGAAAATGTAAATTAAAATTATTTGGAACTCCCATGTAAAGTAAAGGGATTAATTAGAGGATTCACGGACTCACAGGGTTTGTATCGTAATATGGCTGACTAGTATGTCTGACTATGGCACGCCGCTTCTACTTGCGACGTTCAAGTAATTTCCATCGATTTTGCTACATCTTTTTATAAAATTGTGGCAAAGGAGTTATGGTACAGTCGTATTGTAATTAATATTTATACACGTAAAGTTGAAATAATTAGTAGTAAATAAATGAACGTATTAAGCAGTATCGAAACAATTTTCTTCAATTCAATCGTTCCGGTAACATGGTTGCAATTTTCATTTTGCATTCTCAATTTGTTTTTAAACGTTAAAGTGCCACTTTGTTTGCAACACCAATTACAGGAAACCGTATTGGGTTACAGGATGAGTACAATTCAGACACACTATAAATCTAGATAACAAGTATTTTGCGATTTCAACGTTTTCCAGTTATCAATTTAGCAGGATACCACGCTCATGTACGAAAACATGAAAATACGTAAAATAAAATACGGAATTAAACGCATATGACAAAACATTTTACTACAGAGGTGAAAAGTTGGAGTTATACGCAAACACGTATACGTTTTACGGAAGGTATTGAATTACACAGGTGTAAAATGCAATGTGTTCATTTATTTCTGAAAAAATATGATACTTCTCTTCTCATCGAAATCAAAATATATTTCACGAAATAAACACGTAAAAATAATAATTTAGCAATGTACGCAGATAACGGAGCTTCATCGAAAAATTTGTTTTCCTTTTTTGCATCTTTTCCGTGATCTTCCTAATTTCGTGCACTTTTCAGTCGGCAAAAACATGTGACACGTTAATTGCAGAAAATGCGATCTCCATAATTTCAAGAGTTAATTGAACATTCTTTTTCAAATTTAGATCAAAAGATTGTTAATTAATAAAAATATTGAGCGAGTGTTAATTAATAAAAGAGCGAATCCAAAACGATAGTTATGTATTTCAATAAACGTAAACACTGTTACTCAAAAGTTCATAGCACTTTTTATTAGCTATACAAAACGAACTTCTCTAATTACACGTACGTACATATGCAACAATTACTAAAAATGTGATACTTCAATGAGAAATGATTAAGTGAATATTAATTCTTACAAGATAACTATGAACCTGTGAACGCTAGCGTACATTGTAGGTGTTCATCGAGATATAATGACTGTACACCACTATTTCGATTATCACAATAATAAAAGCACAGTTCATGCGACAATAAAACTAACGTTCGCCATATTTTTCATCTATGCCTCAATGCTCGCGTGATTTTAGCCTAATATAATACATTGCACCGTGTTCTGGGGAGCAACCTTTTGTGATGAAACCTCAAGAGTTAATTAGACCTTTCTGCAACTTGTTCTTCAAGGTTACTCATAACGAGTCTTATAAAAAAGTAGTTAATTAAAAATAGTTAATTTAAATTAGTTGATTCAAATTTGTTAGTTCAAACTAATTAATTCAACTTAGTTAATTCAGACTAGTTATTTCAAGATAGTTAATTCAAGATAGTTAACTCAAGATAATTAGTTACTATAAATAAATAATTAATTATATTTACCAAAGATCTATGTACATGTATTCAAATTTTGATATATAAAATTTTTACACTTAAGTTGGCCTTAACAGAATCACTATTCAGTATTCACAAATATCCAAAATAAAAGATACTGCCAATTCGTTTCACAGGTATTTCTTATTTCTCCTCTGTGCAATTTTAACAAGATAAACATAGTACGTGAGATTTTTCTTGTGTTCGTACTGTTTCGCCCGTTCTCTTTGAAATCCGCAGAGAAAATCCATTTTGGAGTTATTGAAGTCGAAGAATCGAGTCGCAATCACAAAGGGTCGGTTTCCAGGCCACCGTGCACCGCCGCGAAACGAAACATGTTAGATTGATACTGTTCTTACGGAAACGTGTAGCACAATTGCACATTTGATATTTCAGTGGAGCCACGCGGCAAATAAATGATCTGCACCGATTTCTCTCTCTTTATTCTTAGATTATCCAGTGCGTCGGACGCGCCGGTCGTCAGCGGAGGATCCATATTCTCCTGGGGCACGAAGTTTAAATACACGGGGCGAACGGAGAAGGAAGTGCTAGAGGAGATGAGCCCTCGTCGGAAGGATGAAGATTCACCTACGGACCGATGCCAAACTTCGTGTGTCAGAAGAAAAGCCAGCAGCGTACCAGCCACGCCGAGCACTCCTAGTCAAGACCTCGTCGAAATAAGTCAGTACATGCCAATGCATCTTTCAGCTAGCAAACACGAGCGAATCTTATCCTTTCAATAAAAATGTCTCGACACTTCTCAATCCAAAAGAAACAGATGATATTCCTAGTTCGGAGGAACAAGGTTGTCTTTCCTTGTTTTCTCACGTTTCTCCAACTGTTATCAAACTAATCTCAAATCTTTTTATCACGCTGCCGAGAGAGAGAGACACCGCCGCTATTTAATCAACGGCTGAAAGTTTGCGGAAAAATCATAGTTACGATACACGTTAAGATAACACGCAATAGACAGTGTAGTTACATAATACTTTTAAGTAAACTGCGAATCTTAAAACTACTTTTAAATCAATTCTGAGGAAGAGAAATTAAAGGTGCGTCTTTTGTTTGAATCATTTCGATAAATTGAAGAGATTTCCTTGAATTCATTTTGGTATTCCTGAAATTTTCGGTTTGGTATTTCATTTAGAGTGTCTCTACTTTTAAATCAACTTTGAGAAAGAAAAATGAAAAGTGTGTCTCTTGTTTGAATTATTCTCGTAATTTCTTATGATATTTTTACAGTTTCGTATTTCATTTAGCATATCTCTACTATAAATACACAAAATCCACAAGATATTTTGCGAATATGTGTACGTATGATTATTGACGATAATGTGCAGGTTTTATGCTGTTGATGTTAATGCGATTCTTCTGAATATGTAAATTGAAGACAAAGGTGAGATTATGCATGTTCGGATTTCAGGATACTCCAGTCTGCCGCGAAGCTGCCATAGCGCAGGATTAGATGGTGCCGGAATGGCAGAGGGCAGTTCGGGAATTCCGTTTAGCACGCCTTACTGTCCAGACAACACTCTGCCACTTCTGGAAACTGTTTCGGAGGACCAAGAGATTCATGCCAGGAGAAACAATGGTTAGTTTCTTGATCGTATAATCGTCTTGATTTCGTTTCACTTACTTTTTATCCCTTTCTTACGACTCGAGACGCATGGCTTTTGATGATACTTATTTCGTGTATTATAATCGTTACGTTAATCTGCTATCGTACGATAAGAACGTAAGTAACTAAAACGCATAATTTAAAACAAGTTCCTCGCAATGTATTCTTTCTGGAGAGAAGAATCGCACTTGCTGTGCGTATTTTGCAGTAGTGTTCCGATTGGTATAGCAAAATTAGGAAATTTTTCAGTTGATCCTATCGATCGAAATTGTAATTATTGCAAGCGGTGACTTTAATCGAAGAAATAAAACTCTTCTTTTTGTGAGCAACTTTGGTCTTAACATACTTGTGTGTGTAAACCAAAATTAGAATCTTAAAAGATTAAGAGACAATTGTTGGACTGCGGTTTTTTATTCAAAATAAAGATCATAAATTTCAGTTATTATTATTATTATCAGTTTAGTAGGCACTGTATTAAATTTTGATTTTTCGTTTTCAATTGTGTTAATTAAAGTGCTCTGATTTCCTAGGATTTTTTGTAAACAGAAGTGTTCCAAGACTCGCAATGCATTTGAAATGTTCTCTCACGAACATTTAAGACCTTCTTCTCTGTTTTACATAAGAACATAGATTGCCGTAGCAAATTTCAGCCGAAAATGCCTGCACGCCCCGAAATGCATGCACCTATCGCGATAGCTAATCCAATGTATTAAACCCCCACCTATTCTCCCAACGACAAAAGTCGTATTACGTTAGATATTGAACATCGGAAATTTCTCATCTAACCCATACCATTCGTTTTAACAATGCACAATCAGAGGTGGGTTCGATTACTTACTATTTTCGAATAGTATTTTACCTGTCCCTGTGAACGTTTTCGTTGCTAACGTTTGCTAGATGGAATACAACAAAGCAACTTCGTCTGTAAGTACAAAACATTACGCTGCTTAATTTTATTCTGTGTGTTTCTTGCCTCAAGTTTCATATACACGACAATGAAAAAAACAGATTTTTCTGAATGACAAACCAGGTGCATCATCGGAACACTACTGTATCTATTTACAAGAAAATATATGTTATATAACATATACATTATCTGGAAAACGAATCGAATGAGAACAAAATAAGTCTTCGAAATAGGATAAACTAATTCCTTATTCGTCATAAATTATAAGATCATATACACAGTTTTGAATTTTTCAGTGTATTATACATACATATCTTAAAACTTTCTACTTCAATTAAACACATTTAATAACTTTGTACAGTCAAAGTTCAATCATCTGCATGTACCTGATACATATCTATATATTCGCATGTACTTTTTATTTTGATTTGGTGGAAAACCATGCGTCACGATACGTTGCACTTATACACGCATGTATAAGGATATGAAAAGTTGAAAATCAATGCAGAATAGAATTTTGCTAGACCATTTTGATAGTCATTGAAATACTACAATTCCAAAATACCTGAATAATAAAGGTGACAAATATTCTTGTAATATGATTTTTATCGTGCATTTTTCAAAAAGACTGAACCAAACACAAACATTTCTCTTCTTTTTAATAATGGACAATTTGATGACCTTAACGTGTATAATTATAGAAAATAATTGTATGGAAACCTGGAATACGGGTCTATGTTGTGTGTATTTTAAATATAACATAGACCCTTATTCGAGATTTCTATTGAATTGTTAATATTTGTGGATGCCCTACAAAAGGACCAATTAACATTTGCTCCACAAATTTTGGGCAGAAATGAACAAAAGTAATCTTTTGTGAAAAACTGAAAACATCACCAAATACTCAAAACAGTAATAAGTATACAAAGTTTAGAAACCACTCTTATAACCTTTCCTCAGGATGGCTGGGAGAGTGGCTATTGAAATTTTAGAGTAGTATAGAGCTGTTCGTTGTTTTCACCTTTGTTACGTGTTAGACAAAGTAGGAATAGTCACGAGAAACTAAATAAAAAGTCGAATTAGCGGCTAACCAAGCTGCGTGATCATTTTCACGGTTGAAATATTCCGCACCATGATGGCGCTTGCCGCACAATGTTTTTTTTATTCCTTCCTCTTAGACCATCGTACTTTCTAAATTATATCTCTAACTTACCTTTCTTTGTACCATTAAATTTAACGAATCCGAATTTGTATAATAAAGAACAGTAATAGTTAGACTGCGGATCTTTCTGCAAAATAAACACTTCCTAAGTAAATTATACTAAATGTAAATTAAATAGAAATGTATTTCACTTGCTAATAATTCTAATAAATTGAGAAGAAGAATAAGAACATTCTGAAATCTCCGAATCCCTTTAAAATCCGCAGTCATGTAATGGTTTTCATAGTGCGCCATTTTCGCGACTCTCCAGAAGTACCATTAATTTTCGACTGTTTCAAACGATGTTTGCACAATTCTAAGTTAGCGCCACGTAGATGCAAGTAAAATGATATTTTTCGTATATTCCATGAACTAAAAGTTTAAAATCATTAGAAGTTTGTATAAATGATTTTCATAATATGTCAAGCATTAAATGTAACATAATTTTCATAGTGTACAGAACTTCCTCAAAATTCCAACTAGATTTCTTCGAAAATGTCGCTTGCATCTCGTTGGTTCTAGTTCGCTTGAATTATCGTTCAGCTTGTATGAGGATTATGAACCTAGACCAGGAAGATACTTAGATTAGACATAGTGCTCGAAAATGTAGTTTCTTTCGCGCCAACTACCTTATCACCCTTGTAAATATTTCACGGTGCATCGAGTACTATATCGAAGGTTGCCGGTCTCCTTATACTGTAATTACATCGCCATCCCTGCCACATTATGTAACTAATTCATGGTATAGGTCTACCGAGTATTAGAAGAACTTTGCTCAAGCCCGACCCACTTAATAAGATTACGTCGAGATTACGTAAGCCCAATCTGTATTTGTAGTTATTTAATTGCATCGTGTCCCCCCCATTTCTCATTTCGCGCTTATGAAGACTGACTTCAGCGTTTCAATGAAATCTTTCTGAAGTAGCCATTAGGTCCAGTCGGTCTCTCACCTTCTTTCCAAACTTACACAGTTAGGATCGAGCTTCTAGCAAACTTGGGCAACGCGGAAATTCCAATCTTTCTCAAACTTCTCGAGTAGAGAGCTTCAATAGAATGATCAAACAACTTGCCACGCTACTTTTTATTTCCTCGGGGATGGAAACGTCTCCTAGCGGATAATGCGTGTTTGTTCTTGCTGGCAATGTGAGAGAAATGTTAGACTGAAAAGTTTGTAGCTGTTCTAGGAAACCGTTCATAGTAATTGGACAAATGTATTGTTTTCATGGACGCCATGGCTAGATATATTAAAATTATGTATCAACTTTTGACGTACTTTTGTAAGATTAATGTTGATCTTTTCGTTGAAAATAGCTAGTATATTTACATTTTTTAGTTTTTTAAAGCTTCCTACTGTTTCAAATTTCACATACTCGTGTGAAAGGTGGCTAGACGATCTTAAATTCTATAATGTATTTTAAACTTGATTATGATAGCAAAAAATATATTTATTAATAAAGAGAAAATGTACGAAGTAGAAGCAAATGCGAATTTTCGGGTTATATCCCTATCGGTAAAAACATAATCTGACCTTTTTGCAGTTTACACACAAGAGAAAATAAGTGAAACACGTTTACATAAAATTGCGAACCAATGGAGGGACCACAAATCGTGTGTGTCCAATCGTTATAGGGCGGGGATATTTTCTCGACGATGTATCCAGCAGCCTCCGATTGGAAGAAACGAAGACCAGCTTTGAAAAACAAAGAAACACAGGAATACCTTTCTTTCTTTATCTCTTAATTTCTCCTAGCAACGATCATATCGAATCGAACGATCAAATCCGATCAACAACGGAGAGGTTACTGTACTTCTTGAGAACCTGATACTCGATCATCGAAGTCTCCGTCTTGAGCGCACTATGGGATCCACTACTATAACCGAATACCGATAACCCGATTAAACTCGACCAGTATTTTCGGCCGGACAACGATTCGCTCCGAGTCGAAGCATTGCGAAAGGACTAAACGAAAGATGAAGAGAGAGTGAGAGTGAGAAAGACCGAAAAAATAGAGAGAAAGAGACAGGGAGGGAGGGAGGTAGTAACGATGGGACGAAAACTGTACAGAATCTCGCCGCTTCTTTGGCTTCTTAGATCGTTGATTTGTCTTTTCCTTTTCTTTCTGTTTGTTTAGCCGTAGACGAAAATGATACGCATGCGAGTGCCACCCACAACACCACCGCCACCACCACCACTACCACCACCTCCAACACCACCACAAACCGTGCGAAAGTTAGACTGAAATTTCCCAAGAGCACGCTGAACCGACCGCAACCGTTGTACAGTCAAAAGATAGTGATAGGCTCTGAGGAGTTAGTCGGCCGTGACATCGATAACGTCGTCCGGGAGCGTATGAACGCTCTCGAAAAGAGTCCGAAGGTGGTCAGATCGACCGCTCTGATAATTAAGAGCTCGAAGGTGCCGGCGGCGAGGCTGTCGGCTAGTAAGAGCGACACATTGTACGTGTATCCGGCCGCCGATTCGGGAACGATCATTACGACGGTGATTAATGGTCTGCACGAACCTAACGCCTGTAAGACGGTCCTGCGTAGGTCCAACGAGCAGGTAAGCATGCTCGGCCGGCGTGAGAACGAGATCTCGTCGCGCGGAAACGCTGCCACCACGAAAACGGCTAACGGTTGCGTTGCACCGACGAGAATTGACGTCGAGGACGTTAGAAACGGCGTCGAAGCGACCAGGCGGCAGGACAGGACAGGTAAATTCGATAAGGGGTTGTCCTTATTCAACGAACCCGCACATACGCCAGACTACATCCCTCCTAGCGCTGTGTCTTGCATCACCTGCTCGGGTGAACAAGTTGGCTGGCTAAACTACGGAACAATGACAGATATTGTTTCACATTTTTCTCGAGTCGAGCATCTGATTTACGGATGACTTGGCTACGGTGAGAACAGGGAGCAGATTGTCCCTTGGTCATGGAAAAATGGACCTTTCCGACGACTGGTCGATGATCCTTAAAGTTTCATAAGTTCAGCGACTTTCTCCTCCTGCAGGTTTACTTCGACTATGACTGGGTGTACATATTTATGTCCCTTTGAAAATTATAGTAGACCCTTGATTATCGAAACTAATCACTCTATTATAAATTGCAATTTCGTATCTCAAAATTTTTTACTGATTTGTAGAATAGAATAAATTTCATCGTCCTATAAATTGCATCATCTTCTGAACTGTTTACATGCGGACCATATTCGGATAATGAATAAGTCAGATAGTAGAGAATCTAGGTGCTGCTGTATATTTTCGAGTTCAATTTTGCCACAACCCATGAAATGTATATACTTCTATTGTACTATAATCAAGGAAAAGTGTGACTTTACTGCAATACTCTATTGGGGCAGAAATGACTCACTGTGTAAAATTCCTGGGACATGCGTATGTTATCCCCTAACTGTGACAAAACAGTAAACACATACATATATGTATATACACAATATCTTTCAGTATCATTTTACATTATACTAAATCACGAAAAAGTAACAATTACTCACTTTGAAAAGTGGTGGGCGCTAGGAGAGGCCAACGAGACCTGCAATCCTCTAGCTAGCCAACTTGTCACCTCTGCACAGTACTTTCTTTTTCTCCATTGTTTCTCTCATCGTAGTGAATGTTCCTTGCACGGATATAATCGACGATTGTTCATAGCATACTTAACTGTTCTGTTACATTTCATTGTTCCATTCCATTCGTTCGCATATCAGACTGATCAGCATGAGCTTGCGCCTATCAACTAGAATACTTCTCTATGGTCGAAACTTTAAACGTGGATTTAGTCAGGGATGTCATCCGGAGGTGGGTAAACGAACGGTTTATATTGTGTTTAAGGAACTACTATATTGGCATGACCGAATTGTCCCGCACGTATACTTGACGAACTATCGCTCTTTATCTGTGGGATATACTTTACCCAATTCCAACGTTGCCGTACTTCTTGGCTATTTACGGTTTTCAATTTGTAGAAGTGATGTGCGTGTGTGCGTGCCCGCAAACAGGATCTTATACAACGTCTGAATGAAAGTAAAACATCCATCATTCTGTAAACATCAGCATATCTTTTTATATTTTTCTGGATGTGTTATGTCACACAACTTTAGGGTTCTAATTATTTGTGGATATTTTCGTAGAACTGACTCTAGAGTTGTTAACTTTTTATGTTCTTTTGAAAAATTGGTTTGGAAGCCAAAGAGGGGAAGTAAGAATATCAGTTTTGTTTAACACATGAAATGCATAACGCTGTTGATAATCTTTATTCGAAATTGCCGTAAGTAGTCCTTTCATATTAATGTTAATTGAAAATTCATGTTCAATTTAGTAGATAGTTGTATATTATTATTGAACTAAACTCAGTTTAAGGACTACAATGTCACATATCTATGACGATCGCAATTTCGCATTTCACACAACACAAACCAAAATGTTAACTGCATCGTTGAAAACGTGCATATATCTGAAACATCGCACTGACAGTAATGATTAATTATAATTAGTAATTATTACACTCAGTAGTAATGAACAGTAATTATTAATTATTACCCTCTTTAATGTCTTATACAAAGGACGGACTACATTTAATCAGATTCTGAAATCATGGGATCTCTTTTTAAAATAAATTATATGGCAATTACATTATTTAAATGAAATTCCGTAAAAAAATTGGAAATATTCAAAGTTCTCTTCTCAACGTGAAAAAAATAAATAATTCTGATCCAAATTTTGATCTCTACTAGTTTGATCGAAGTAGATCGAAGAAATGAATAAAAACCAAAGAAACAAATTATAGATTCTTCGTCAACATTATCTTCAACTTCATCCGAAAATTGTCAAAGTTATTTTTAATGTTGTCGCATATTCTTGATTTCATAGTAATGCAACCGACGTTAGAACGAGTTCAAGCCTAACTCTAATATTTCTAATAACAGAATGAAGAAACAATACCTTGAATTTACAGTGTTCGATATGAGTGTAGACATTTCAGAGAGTGATCTTATTATCCAATATGCTTGCAGTGTCGTTTTCAAATGAATAAAAATTGATGGATTTTTAATTATTAATAACTAAGAAAACGAGATCGTTTTGTTTTTATTTGCACGATCACCTACAAAGTATCTACTGTACTAACCACTCTATGTACGAACACGCTTCGTGTCACTCCGGGTGTGTTTCCATGCCCATATTTTGTCAAGTGACAAGCAGCGGTTGACCTTTCCGGTGGCCCTTGACATTGTCCTCCAACGTTAAACCAAACGGAAATATTTAGGTGTTCTGTTTCTCGTGGCTCGGCCGGTATAACAGAAAATCTATATTCCAAAGGCAAAGGGTGCAGCCGAATAAGGGTGTCAAAAGTGCCCTTGAGCCAAATTAAACCACCGACGACCCGCTCGATAGCCTGCAAAGTGAAAATATTTTCCGGCGAATTTCAACTCTCCGTCTGCCAGAAAAATTTCAATCTGGCCAATTAAAACTGTGTCACGCACAGGGAACCTTGTAACCGATAATGCAACCGTAAAAAAGGGTTGTTCGATGTGGAAAAACATATGAAAAATATAATTATAGATTTGTAATATAGATTATAACATACATGTACACTATATATTTCAAACAAGTCTGATATTTAAAACACATTTCCAACGTCCCCCATTTTTGCAAGCAGACTTTTCAATGGCAAACGTATCGCACATATTTCGGTAGCTGTAACGCACTCGGATGTTCCAGAATTTTTCGCTTCAATGGGGAGAACGGAACAAAAACGTTACCCCCTTGTCCATCTCGCCTCGCCGCGCCTGTTCGAAACATGGCACAGAATTGTTTGCAATCTATCAAACGATCCGCCGTCGGTTTAATTGGACTTAAGGACGGTTTCGTGTCCTCTGTCCGGTCTGCACCCGGTATCTACATTTCATTCATACACCCTGAATCCGCATCATGAATGTAGAGTCGCATCCCGATACTATAGTGCTCTAGACCGGCCAGTGAAGACACCCAGACGATTTCTGTTTCAGTCGGTCACGAAGGCGACGCAAACGACTACTACTTCAGAGACTCGTTCGACCATTCCTCGTCGGAGAGCCAGCTCCTGGACGCGTCCGGCAAACCGCACAGCCGTTCGGTGACGCCGGTACCAAAGATGCAGAAGCTTCAGAACTCGAAGCTCTGCCTGCAGCAGCAGATGCACCAACATCAGTCGCACTCTGCACGCCGGCTGGACAAGTCCAGGCACAAAAGTGTCCGAATAGTGAAGCTTTTCATACCGGCGTTTGTGCTGACGGTCACGGTTCTGTTCATTGTGATCGTTCTGGTGTTCGAGACAGACACAATGCTCTTCAACAGCCTACGCAAGACGCCAGAAATGGTGGCCTTAAGGAACCAATATTATATCCCAATCAAGGAGTTCCTGAGGACAAAGCTCGGCCTATTTTGATGCGACCCGTCAATGACCGGGCTAAGGTCGTCCCTTCTTGCTAAGTAGCTCCCTTCAGTGCCAAGTCGAGAGAACGATCTTGCCTGGACCCGAGGGGCGGGAATCTATTCACGCCGTTTCTATGTCGCGTGTCCTTCTTCTTTCTTTTCCATCTTTTCTATCAACTTCGACTTTATTCTCTCTTTTGTACCGATTCGATCGGACCTGTTACTGGCTAATTATCAGAGTGGCCCAAGTCTCACCTCAGTTTCTTGATGCCTCAACTAACGATTAGGCTGCGGATGTTCATGCAAGCTCACTGTTTCCAAGGTTTCATAATTTCCTTCGATTCTACCAAACTTTGATGTGAATGTATACATTTTCATAGTATACCGATCACTTTCAGCTGCAGTTGGCTACAATTTAATCAGTAAACTATGAACTTCGTGCATTCATGCCAATTATGACAGTATAAGCTCTACTGATTAAAGTTATCGAAGGAGGACAGAAATTTTGATTCGGCTTCTTGTTTCTATTTTGCAGAAAGATCCGCAGTCTATTAATCAGAAACTATTCAAGATTGCAGATTTCTTAATAGGAAGCAGGTACAGTAGCAATTGACTAAGAGCTTGTCTTGTTAGCTGACTATACGGTAATCATTATCTCACTCGGAGCATACTTGGAATTTTGTAGACGCTGCCTATCTTGGTAGTAGTCCAGTGATGGTGTCAGCTAACGTGGCACTACTGCATTTGCTGTGTCGCAAACACGTTACGGAAGGCATCAAGAGGTAATTAATGTGTTGCATCAATTTACATTATCCTGATGTGAAATCAGTTTTGTGAAATAGTTGACAATCGCTGAATGTTGTCAGTCTTGCCATCATACGATCATAAAATCTCCATTCGTTTGCAATAAGATGAAATATCGCTTTATCATTTCTTTACCTTTGTGTTCTTAAAAATGGCTTGACTTTGTGCAAGCCTGCAGTTTTTCAGTATTGATTACATCATTTAGATGATTTATGTAGGCCACTTTATAATTAGCGGCACATTACGTCCGACGAGAGTATTCTTCTTTCAATCTGTCATTTCTTAACTGTATTCGTGATTACGAATATTTAACTCGTTCACATCGGCTTCAATCATAGTTCAATCGAAATTTCTCGAGTACTCGTTGATTTACAATATAATTTTATAACGTTCATTTATAATATAGACTTTTATGACGACACTTCAACTCTTGTTTGCTAACAACCAGACTACGAATTTTATGCATTCACAGCATACAACGTTGTCTACGATTCAATGCAGTAAACAAGATAAGAAAATTTAACGAATTATTATTTCATTTGGAACCCAATAGAATCCTTAACAAAGTAAATTCTGATTGCTTCTGATTGTTTAATAAATCGTTGTAGTCAACGTGTTAAATATTGGTAATTACTGTATCCCGCCAAAACAAATTGAAAATGTATAGTATAATCTTATAGAGCTTTGTTGTCGAGATATTCGTATTTGATGAAACACAGTGAACAATTCAATACTAAATTTCTAATAATTTGATTATACTTTCGCTTATTGCTTTACATTAAGTTAAGTGATCATCAAAATATATCAACACCGCCGATATAATCAACATATAAAACGGCCTGTTCAACTCCAATACGACTTTTCGAGAACAAAGATGCATAGATAAGTTCGATTCTACATTTCCAATTTGTGTTTGAACGCGAAATTACTTTCTTCTCGGTTGTCTCGCTGATCATGGGAAACTCTGTGTACCCATTGGTGGGAATTACCGCGTCATTTATACACCAGGGGTTTCTACCTACGTATCTTGTTACGTATTTTGTTACGTGCAGTTTTCGAGGCCGTTGCTGGGAGACTTTGTTGCGAGTTCGATTGAATTGCTGTTTTTACGGATCCGGGATAGAAGCCGACGTCTGCGTGTTGGACGGCAATTATCGCGTATCGACGAAGTTGTTTACATGGATTTCATCGCAGGATTAGAAACAAGTGTACACCAGTATGTTTTGGGACTAGCGATAGAGCGGTCAGAAGTCTTAGGTAGTTGATTGCACAATATACTTTCACACTCCATTTACGACGAACGTATATTGTAACGTGTATAGACATTACTGTATTTTCTGATAAAACGATGTTCGATACTTGTTAAGGATCTCGTTTCGCGAATGCTTGGGACACTAATCAATCAACTGCCAGAAACTGATGTTTTCCATACGTTGGCGGGTTGCGAACTCCTCATTGTCCGCATCCCCGCGTGTTCTCGTTCGTACGTGTACATTCGTTTGAAATTCAATCGCTGTATACCGAATGGAATGAAATTAATTCGATCGATCCGATTCGAAATCGACGTTTGTGTCGTTGCGCGTGTATCGCTATTGGAAAATACAGTGATTCGATGGACTCATTGTGAAAGTAAATCCAAAGAAGCACCTTAACGTTCAGTTTTTAGTGGCATGTAGATAGGGTGTTCTGTATGTCGAGTATTATGTTGCCGGTTCGCCAATGGTATAACGTATAGAACGGAGAAAAATTACTTGTCTAGGAGTTTAGAGGTCTGTCCTTGTTCTTTTTTTCTTTTATTTTATGGAGTACTGAACGAGGTATGTACAAAATAGGTTTATAGGATTAAGATACAATCGGACGATATGTATAAACAATGTTGTGTACATTCATTTGATACAGTTTCTATTGAATTGCTAATACTGTCAGTATTCTCTGATCGAGGCGTGGTCAACACGATGCTTCTCGACGTTCCATGTTGATTAATAACGAAAAGGTCTCTGTCATGATCAGACGGGACTTTTTACTGATTTCCATTCTGTTCTGGCCGATAGTACGTCTAATAGGAAGAAATGTTATACACTGGCGCCTATAATACTCGTTTCTTTATTTCTGTGATCAAAAAAAGTCAGAGAAAATTGTTTCGCTGTGAAAAATAGAAAACGCGATCAAGGACATTTCGTTTACTTATAAATTGAATTATTTATTGTAACATCGAGTAATTTTAATATTTATTGCGGATTTTCCACTTGGGAAGCAGCAATTTTTTGAATTAGCGAATAATCTATTAATTATTTTGCGACGATTTACAATCAATTAAGCAATAATTTTATACACACACCATAAGAAGTTTCTCCTATTGTTTCGTTATTACAATGTTTGTAAATAAATGTTTTATTTGTCACACACTTTTTTGTATTATCAGAAATAGACATGAGTGTTTAGGTTCCCAATTTCAGACATTTGTGCATGTGCGCCGGATGTTTATGTGACGCATACTACTCAGTATTTCTTTTGCAAATGAATGATACAACGAAATACAAAAATAATGTTCATTTGTATGTTTTGAAATAAATATATACAAAACAACGTGAATTTTTGTACGATTGCATAAGGTAAGATTTATGCTATTTCTGATATCATTTATTTACAAAGATTCTGAGCAATGCCAAAACATTAATATCCCGTGCACGCACTATAGTTGACATTTCGCGAAATCAATCTATGATAATGAATTGCTTCCAAAGAAATGATTAAATCGATTAGATAAAAGTATAATGAATATTTGTAATCTTCATATTTGTGGAGATGGTGGAATCGAAAAGAAAAGCGGAAATCGAGTATCGGATTTCCAGTTCCGGCGAGGATGTCACTGTAGTAGAGCTTCTCGTTTATTTTTTACGGTACGATCGACGTTTACAGTACCTGTGCCACCTGACCATGTCAAGTGGATTCATACAATCATTTCAATGATCTCATTTTCAATTGTGTTATTTGAAACGATATCTTGCCATTTCGCTGTGCGACTGTCATTCCATAGTATTTGATAGTTTAAAGGAAACCGTGCAAAGATAGTGTATCCAACCTGAAGTGAATACTAGAAAGTATTTCTCCGAATCGATGCTTTTGTAGTTGACTATTTTTGTCTGGTACATTCTTCGTAGGATAAGATCGTTGCCTTTGGTTCACCGATTTTCGTTGATTGTTTCGATTCGTTGCGTTTGATTGGCGAGGTTTCTTCGATCAATTTTGAGGAGTGCATACGTCTTCGCAGAAAAACCAATATCGACAAATAACATCTATCGTGAAAACAGTGATCCGTTTTTACAGGTATCGTCATGGTAGAGGAATCGAATACACATTAATCGACGAGATTAATCGGCGACAACTTACGTAGTCGGTTCGTTTTTTAAATGTTTGCTGTTCAATCTACTCGAATGGTGTCGGTTAATAGACTAGTTGTCATGTTTCGTTATCGATTCTTTCTTGAACAAGAACATCGTTTAGGGAATATGTCGAAGCAGCTGTTCGTTGTTCCATGTATTTTTAACATACTGGATGCTTTGCCAATTGTATCAGTTCTGACTTGAGAAATTTCGAAATGGAACGAGACCTTCGGATGGATCATGTACGATTACATATTTAAAACGTTTTGACATTTAATGAATCCACTTTCAAGCTAAGTGACAAGATATGATTTCATTGATTTTCTTAAACTGACAGCAGTTCTCAAATACAATGTTGACTAGATAGAATTGTGTGACATCTAGCAAAAAGTATTTCAGCGAAAAGTCGAAACAATCATATTACAAACTTATTAAATTTAACTACTTTATAGTTATAGTATTGCAAAAATTAGTTTTAAATCACTTAAAATCACTTACTTTATTCTCAGAAGACAATTTTATTGTGATTATGTTTCATTGAACTGTATAATTAAAACAGATAAAAGTTCTCAAAAACCAAATGTAGCATACACAATTTTTTCGAAAAAGTAAAGTGTGCATAAATCAATCTTGCAGTGTGATCATTGCACATTTGATAAAATACTTTTTGTTAATGGTGTCGGAACGTTCCGGCATAAAATACAGAATGATTGGATGGACACAAAGTGCATAAGCACAGATTTTTGCGAGGCAGGTCACGATTGCAGCAGTTCTTGATTATCGCAAATGTTTTCTTCGTTTCTATCGAACGCATCTTCCTGAATTGAATCGATTACCAAAAGAGAAAGAGCGAGGGGGGAGGTGTAACGATTCGTGTCGAATGGCCTATCGTATTGCTAACATAAGCGGAATACATTAAAAAAAAAATAATATTGTGCACTCTCGACGCGTCATCTCGTTCTCGAATGCAAGTGCAACACGCTCATGTACAAGCGCACGTTCAATGAATACAAAAATGTAAGTGGGTGTACACTGTTAACGTGAAAACAAACAAACAAAAAAATATTACATATTTTATCATTAAAGATAACAGGAAACTTAGGCGAATATGTAATATATTATACATACATCTTATTAGCGAGCTAATCAGTTAACATTATTTATAGAGATATTAGGTACAATTTTAAACGGTCAACGAAAAGCAATTATTTAATAATTAAATGTAGCTTGTAAGCAATTTTAATGCGTAAGAACGTTAGAGGAATCTCTGGGGGAAATTATGGGAGCAAACTGGTAGTAGGTGAGGGTCATATTCTTTTCGCGATGGCGTCGATTGTTTTCTTTTTGAAGCTGTGTTACGCTGGAAATCTTCGTTTTATCCATGATATCTAGTGCTCAAATGAATAGTTTAATGGTGATGAACAAAAACTGCAACATTATTGTCTGTTTATCGAAGGAACGTAAATATTGAATAGTGACGTAAATATTGAAGTAAAAACTTTGCTCACAGAAAATTTTAATCAATTATCTCTTACCTTTTAGTTTAGTGCATTAAAAAAATCAATTTTATTGATTACTGTGAATAGAAATGTATGTTGGTGACTGAAGAAATCATTATTTAACGGAGATCTTTGCAAACAAAACAGCTTCTACATTATCTCCTAACATAAAAGAGAATCGTTTGTTATAATTTACGAGTGCTTTTTATTCCCATTCCTTTTGTTGTTTAATTACGTTATAATTTTTATAGATTTCCTAAACGAGGCGATTAGTACACGTACAAATTTTATCTACACGTTAATCATAGCATGCCTTCATACAACCTTCTAAATTTTATGACTGGAATTGAGAGTAAATAAAACAGTTATCAATAATCAATGCATAGTTGCCATAAACTGGTAACCTACGATCGTAACAATAGCTCGGAAGATGCAGAAAATATTCTTTAAACAGTATGGAAATCATATTTGCTGCAATCATGCACTTTCTTGATTGTTTGACAAGAGCCAATAACATTCGATTAAAATATTTTTTTATGGAAGCTTCTTGTAACATAATTTCCAATTTCCAATAAGAAATAAAACGTTCTAATTATATGAGGATGCATGACTAATACATGATGAGGATGTACAAGGTGATCCAACTAGAATCAAAATAATTATTAAATTACGTCGCTTAAACAACGGAGAAAAGTATAGGAAATATTTAAATGTTTTAATAGTTTGAAATATTTTAATTGACAGACAGTATAAATATTACTGTATTAATATCTTTTTCATTATTGTGTTTCTGCAAAACACAAATCTTAATTTTATTAACAATCAGTACTTTTGCATTCCTTAAATAGAAGAAAGGGTTAATTAGTAATATTTTACAAATAAAATAACTGATATAAACATTTTGTTAATATGAGAAATGTTTTATTTATTTAGTTAATTAAAATCTGGAGCACCTTATTCGACGGTACCGTTGATTTGCTTAGGGCTTAAGGCATGTTCGATATTTCGAGACGCTTGATGGCTCGTTGGACGACGACGATTGTATTACAAATCCCTCAGAATCGAATAACGTTTCTAGTTTAATCCATTACAATTAAATGTCAACTAGATGTTCCAGCACAAATCGAGCGACGATAACATAAGAAACCAAATTGAATTTTATAAAAACTAAAAAAGAATCAAAATAGTTCGCGACTCTTCGTAAATAGTAATGGTTCCCTTTCGCTGCAATGATCAAATGTATCTCTTGAGCCCCGCGACGGCGAGCGTTGTTTCTTCGTGTGCGGGAACAACGAAGAAGAAAGGAGAAGAGAAAATATGGCTGCTCGCGAAGATCGATCGATCTTCGTTGTTCTCGCGGCTTTCAATCTCACCCGTTTTCCTGAAAGTGCCTACGCTATTCTAAACTCTTTTGGAAGCTGCTGTTCGCTGAGTTTTCGATAAAAAAAAGAAAGAAAAAGAATTGTATTCGTCTTCTTACATTTACTCGGTACACATCATCAATTAAACGAACTCGGGCGGCTTGTCCAATTACACCCGACACTTATAGCGGAGAAGGTGATTGATACTATTCAACACCTGCTTTGTGCTTTGATAATCAACAGGAAATTATTATAGACTTTGGATCATTCTTAATAAAGTTACCTGTTGACTGTTAGAACGCAAAGAAAACGTTGAAATTCGTTGGACAATGTAATTAAACTGCGGATGTTTGTGTGTTGTCGCATGAACAAATATACAAAACACGAGAACAGAAAGCCAGCAATGAAGTTTATAAATCAAATATTTTATTTACTTGATCTTATCAAGAAGAATATTATCGAAACAAATACGTTTCGTTTACAATATGTTTGTTGAATGTTTGTAAAAATTGTTGTGACTCGCATAAACGTTCGCAGTGTAGTAATAGAGCCGATGTTTGTATTAAGGTACGAGTGCAACGTCCTTTCGATACGAGAGAGTCAATCATCGAACGGAAATGCTTTGTTCATTTTAAAACGAGAAGAGACCGAAGAATTTCCTATCCGGCGATAGAGCATCCAGCGAAGTGTTGATTAAAATTCTTTCCTGAAAGAAAGAAAGCCTATCCGATGCAGGAACAATTCTAAGAGATTAGAACGGTATCCGTGCAAACTGTTTTATTAATTCATTGGACTGTGAATTCATTTTAATACTGTTCAACGCGTTATCCTCGTCAGTTTTGAAATGAAATAATAGCTTCGCGTAACGTAAGATCGATTTAAACGACACATAGTTAAAAATGAATTTTTATAATTAGCAGGCCTTTTCTAAGCAAGCTTTAAGATTAAGTGAAACAATCAGTAAGCTTTAAGCTTTCCGTATTTGTAAGTTGTATGACATTTTTGACATTAAATTTTACTCACTTTTTCAAAGAAAGATTAGTTTGTTCAAAACAATGGAAGAGAAATTATTTAAACAAGAATTCTCAACTGGAATTAAAAACAAACGGAGTACAACTCTAATTTTAGATAAGTATATATACTGATAATTTATCATTGAAGATGTCCCTAAGAAATGGAACATATAATATCGTACTTCTGCTTCAAGTATGAAGGCAGAAAACCGTCGACAGGATCCTGCTGTCGTCGAAGTTATTATTTCATTGCTTTCTGTGCGTTCAAACGTATTAGAACAGCGTGAGTTCCACAGTCTATCGATTACACGTGGCTCGTTTCGAAGGACAAAGCACGAGTCTGAACACGAATTGTATAAACAAACGGATGTCAATTGCAATATAATAACTTTAGATTTAAAAGTAAGAACGTCGGGATTATTCGACGTAACGATCCGCTGTAAACGTTCTGCGACGACGCTGATATTATCAAATTCCAAGTCGAGTGGGGAATTCACACGTTCGAATTCAAATAGAAAGAACTAAATTCGGAGGCGAGCAAAAATTCGGGACACGACGAATTTAATAGCCGCTTCGTGTTCTCAAAATCGAAAATGTATTCTACCGTGTTTTTTCGGATAGCTTTAACTTCTCAAGCAATGGAAATTAACGAGCCGATTCTCGTTTGGTAGAAATATTCCGAGGAGGTGCAATACACTGATAGAAAAACATTTCTTCATCGTTTCAATACATTCTTGATATCTGAATCGTTTTACTTAAATTAAAATTTAATTACGGCTTCTTGCTCAATAGGACTTTCACAGCAAAATTTTAGATAATAACAAATTAAAACATTGGAAATGTTTCTTGATATTTACAGTGTACTCTCTTAAATGTTCACAGGCTGGGACCACACGTACTAAACAAAATTTTGTGTCCATTCAAATAAGTTTCTTTGTTTCACATATTTGATACTTGCTTAAACAGTTTGTTTATTAACAAATTTTACTGATTTATGACAAAAGTGGATTAATGAAACAGAGGGAAATTTAAGAATTGTGAAGATAGCAATATGCTTTCGTTGAACTTCTCCTTTGTGTATAAGAAACATTAGTCCAGTGTAAAGTTCCGAATTAAACCTATAAATGATGCGAAACATTTCTTTGATTAAGTTGAATTTCAATCGTGTATTGCTGACAGTTGACGACTGGTGTCTACGAGAAACGAAGAATCGGCAATGGAGATTCTATTTCGCGCTCATATAATAACACACGAGGGCTTGTAGAAATGATGTGGTTCCATCCCTCTATTTCGCAATCCGATTCGCATAATTGTTTACCCGAGTTTCTTTGGCATGTTATGTACATACGTATAGCGAAAGTTACGATACGTAATTGAACATGTAACAGAATAACTTCTACGTGTCATAATCATTTACGGTTACAATCATTCGCCAATAAGAAATACTAATGTTAAGTCGAATAAGTTCAACTGTGCCATATTTGTGATCTAAATTACACACCGACATACACACAAAGAGACATACAGAATGAGAAAGCAAGAGAGAAATACACAAACATACGTACACACTGTCGTTAAAATTATCTCGGTGATGAATGAACATTGTTTAGAGAAATAGAGAAATTAATTGTAGCGCGTGGACAAAGTAACACGAAACATTGTATTACTAGAGAATGTTTTAAGGCAACTTTACACAGTTGTAGCAACCATACCAGTCTTCACGATAATTGTATTCTATAATTTTCTGTTTAGTTTCTCTTTTCGTTTTAATTCAACATCGGATCGCGCGTTATCGTTTCAACGTTATTCAATGCTTAGCGCTCTTAACGATTAATTTCGAGACAAAGTAAATCGCTTGTCCCTCGGTATTCGTAAATGTGAATAGTTGTATGTCGTTGTTTATCGGTAGACTGCGATCTTTATGCGAGTTCCTATTTCGTAATCACGGGATGTTTATGAAACACAGAATTTATTTCGATTACCGGAACGTTTCTATAGGTGAAATATAAATGAAAATTAATTGTTGTTAATACAGGTGTTCCTTTGTATTTTATATGCATTTCAAAGGTACATAAAGATCCGCAGTCGGTGCTTAGGTTCGTTTTGTACTATAACTATAACTTATTGTTGTATGTATTAGGCAATTCCAAAAACAATGCCGTTCACTCGTGAAGTTCTTTGATGGTACTTGATTGAAGGTCACTTCGGCGAAAGTGAGTTTCAATTTGGAGACAGAAACTGATGAGACTCACTCGGACATCGTGTGTGAAATTGACGCTTGAGATACTCTAGAAGCTCAACGAAATTGATAGAAGATGTTTTAAGGTGTCGAAGACAAACATGCCAAAATTTACCAGACCAAATACCGTTCGAATTATGTGGTAGGCATTCTTTCGCATCGAATGATAATCATAATGTGTAGGTGTTCCGTTTCTGGAACAGTCCGAGTAATAAGTAGAGCAGTTTATGCAGAATTGTGTTTCTCTGAGAATCATGGAAATAGGGATTAGACATTTTTGTTGTTCGATGAAGATTCTATTAGAGTAAAAATGACATAGCTAGCAGATTTTTATCCGAAGGGAAACAGACTATGGAGATGCATAGCTGTCGGTTAACGATTTCAAAGATTATCATCGTAGATCATTAACATAGAGATGTTGACAGCTTAACGATTATAAATGTTTCTCATTTTCGTGGACCATCTCGCAAAAACTGGAATCAAAGTAGAATTGCATTTCGTTTATTAAGTAGTACGTTAGTTGAAAAATTTCACGATATCATCGCTCACGGTTCAAGTTCATTTAAAAGTCGATTACCTTATCTTTTGACTTATTTATCGAAGTTGCAATATACAATGGCATTATTTATGGAATCACCTGATACGCGTTTTGACTCACGTCATCGTTTGAAAGGCGAATTGTACATGGAAAAATCATGGAGAGAAATAAAGTTCGCAGTAATTTGTAACCTATTTTACTTTGTCTCTGCGATTTCCTCGAGTATATGACAAAGAAAATTTCAAAGAATGACAGACAAGGAAATTGATGACTTCAGAACAAAGTGAAATAGGACACAGGTTCACAGGTATCTTCTGATTTTCTTTGCGCGTATCCCGATACGTTCCGATACAGCCAGTATATGTGTATATGTACATAAGAGTTGATTTATCGATATAATAATTTAAACATTTCCACCTCAAGGTATACATTCATCTTGCAAGTACTCCAACTCATGCCTTCCAGACTTGTAAATTGTTTCCATTGATAGCGCCGACGTACGTTTCGAGTATCACGTAATAACGACCGAAGTGTAAAGAAATACGTACTTACTAAACGGATTTTCAGTTGTTTCAAATTTTCGTCGAGACAAATTGTTTGCTTAATTCTCGTTAACATGCGCATCGTTTCAAGCAATATGCGTTCACGATATCATTCGTTGAGGATACTTAATCTTGTAACGTTATATTGTACAACGTTCAGTTTCATTCTTTCATCGTTCTACTACGAAACTCATACTAGAACATGTAGAATTCCAGATAACAGTATAAAAGAAGTACTTCTTTTTCAATTTTTCACGTCATAATAAAATGTTGATAGCGCGATATGTATGAAATAGATTTATACATGACAAGTTTCTCTTTATATGAAATAAAGATGAAATTCATATGAATCTGTTGTTTTCATTTTAAGGATCACCTGAACTTTCCGCCGCGTGCTACGTTATCTATTTGCAATAGTGGTTGAGAAAGTAATGAACATATCAGTTTCAAGCTTTATGACGATGTTTCCCATCTTTAGAGAGATGGAAAGGATATTAGGGAGTAAACGAATATTATTTGTACATGTCGTAGTAGTTTATGAGAAATGGATTTTGTTCAAGCTTTTGGCAATTCAAATCAGAACGCTTTATACTGTTTATCACAAAATTAGTCGTATTTGAAATAAAAAAATCCAAAAAAATAATTAAAGTGATTTTATAAACATCGATTAGGTTGAGCTCACATATACAAAATAGTTTTATCGTTGTGTTTTTTTTTGTATATTTTGTAAATGTTAACTTGTATAAATAAAATTTATGAATGAAGAAAAATGCCCAGCAATCCGATTGATAAATTTTTTTTCCTGAAATCCTACAATGTTACTAACGTTACAATATTCAATTTGATTGTTAACTACCTACTAACATCAATGGTGTATTACCTAATACTAAAATTGATTTGTTAATGAGTATGTAAAATGATTTATTACATCAAATGCCAATTATATAGCTGTTGTATTTGATTAACACTGCGGTTTCGCTAAAATCTGGAAATCTTTAAATATTCTCAAGTTTTGAATGAAACTTTACAGTCTTTTAGAATTGCATAAAATAACAGATATACGTGTTTTTAGTTGTGGTGATTGACGCCTAAGGGAAGAAACCATCCGCCAAAGGTCGACCACCAGTGACACAAATGATATTTGCACATAGGTATGTATAATCTATATAATGTTTTAAATACTTACATAGGCCTTTCAATAATGGATATAAAAACACAGTTATGATTTATGAATCACAAATACAATATATACTACAATTCTACCAATATTGTTGCAGATAGCAACCATGGTTCAGAAGTTTAGCCACGAGATCTGGAAAGATGCGTCAATTTCTAACAATAAATCAAGACTTCTTCTATCTTCTGCGTTATTCTTCAAAGAGCACTGTGAGACCAATCGTCTACGAAAGCAACTAATTCACCGAAACCTCTGCAGAATTTTTGTCAAGTGAGTATCAAAGAATTGATAAAATTGTAAAAGAACTTCTTCTAACAGTTTATTCCAGGCACATATGAAACGATAAAACTGTACAGTGAACTTCAAAATGAGTATTCGTCGCACAACTGAATTCACGGAACAACATAAACCTTGATTTTTCAACGCTGCCCCCATCGTTATGCTTTCATTATTTAACAGCGACAGAACTTTCGAACTCATCGAATATGTAAATGAATCTTCGATACCGAAGGCACACCGTCCAACTGTAAATAATTTGTAGCACAGATCACGCACAGTAGCAAACGCAAAAGAAAATAGAGGAGTCGCGTAATCGCAGGTGGCATCTATATCTAATATTCGTGGTTCTCCTGACCAGACGTAATGATACGTAATAGCGTATGCAGAACGATTGACTTTGATCGATGAAGTCCTTCCGAATAGTCATCGCCGTTGCTTCGAGAAATTCAAGTTTATTTTTCTATCCACGGCCGATCATTACCCGGAAGCTTATGTTTCTTTGATAGAACATCTGCTGTCATTGATGGTAGGGGAGTTCGCATGAGAAAGTTGTGAAGTTCAGAACCTTGGTCATTTGAATCCCAATTGCTTCGATGTTGTCTAACACAGTGATCACGTACCCCATCGTGCTCAGTCTTCGCATGATCGGGGCCGAGCCAACATCATCGCGTACGATTCTGCAACGGGTCATCTGCTCGTTCCTAATGATGTCCTCCCTGTCCGGACAGTTTTGGTATTGTGCTTCGTACTGCAAAAACGAGGAGTTAGCTGATATGTTGGACAGTTTAAGCGTGATCTTGTCGAACGGCGGTACGTTTGTTAAAATGGTCATTATTTGGTGGAACCGTCGGTAAGCAGCGCTGCCATTTTTTCCGGGGATGTCTTGCATAGAACTCGAGGGTTGAAATTTGTTGTAGTCTGTATCACTGGAAGAAACGTGCTTCCACTTCTGACAAAAATAATTAATTCACGTTAGTTAATATTATCGTAAAATGACACGTGCGTCGTTCACTTTGACGTGTTTAGAATTAGCAAACGGCGGAAAAGTCAGTTTTGGGGAGTAATTTTCAGAAGATGTCAAGTATTAATTAATTCTGTTACGTGTACTATTAAATTTTAAACAAAACAAAACATTTGATTGTGTTGTATGATATACGATACTGTTATCACATGAACGCATAATAATAAATTTATCTAATTAATGCATAGTTTTATGCGTAGCAATGAATAATTTACTATGAAGAAAAACTGTTTAAGCTTGTTACAAATGTAAATAGTAGTATTGAATTATTCTTTGCTGCGTCGAATACCATCTTTGAAATGTTTAACAATACATTTTTACGTTGTTTCTCTGTTGTAACCAACTATAATAATTGTTAAATTACTTTGTGCAGAATATTTTTCAAAGCCCTAACAATTATTTTGGAAGATTGGAATAATCTCGATCTAACCGGACGGAATAAACACTTCATGCTGGATAAGGCCCCTGTGTCCTTACGGATATCGAATTCATTAATAGTCGTTTACTCGGCGACGTGCATTTTCTATTCAGCAAGTACCTTGTTCATGCCCGACGAGACCGAAGTAGGGCTAGATCCAAGCGAGAGGAAATTGTTGCTTAAAATGAGATTCCCGTTCGAAGTGATGGTTTCTCCAGTTTACGAAGTTGTTATAGTCGCGCAGTTTCTGCTCGAATTTTTCATAGCTTTCACTGCGGCGATGTTCATGGCGTTGCTTGCTGCATTAGTGAGTTGCTACTAGTCTGCGGATTTTTATACAAACCCTCATTTTCGTACATTATTTTACAAAAATTAAAATTACAAAGGTTACAAAAATTGGAATTAAAGAAAAATGTCCTTTTTCGACTAAAAAATTAGTCCATTGTAAAAATAAAATAAAAAGGCTATAGGACTTTGTTCATTCAGATGTTTTTTTACATTTGAAAAATCTGCACATTCAATAAGTGCATAAATAAAATATTACTGCAGACGAATATTGCAGAACTTTAACGTTTATTTAGCAACATCGTTCCTACAGGAAATTAGATTCAAATTAATTTGGAAAATTGACAATAATGTTTGTTGTGTCTTATGTAATAAATAAATTCTCTTATTCCTATAGGTATTACATGTAGGCAGTCAAGTAGACATACTGTGCGAGGAATTAATGGACGTTCCCAAATATCGAAAAGAGGAGAGACTACTCTCAATTAAAACTCTCGTTGTTCGGCATCAAAAGATCATATATTTGGGTGAAAATATCAGAGATCTATTCATTAACATAGCTTTGGTGCAATATTTGTCAAACATTTTGATGATCTGTTTCTTAGGCTTCATGCTTGTTAATGTAAGTCAGCCCTTTTCTATGTTATATAGAATCCTGATTAATGTAAAACATTTTAGTCTTTAGGCACAGAGAACGGACCCTCAGTAGTAGTGAAATGTTTCCCTTTCTATGTGGCTGCAAACTGTGAAGCGTTTGTACTTTGTTATACTGGCGAATACCTAATTTCGAAGGTGAGTTACAGAAAATTAGAACAATTTTATTGGCTAAAAAGTTTTCTCATATTTTCTCCGTTTAATATCAAAGTTTCTAGTATCACAATTATTTTATTAAATCTTAATTTCATTAATCTATGCATTGCTCATCCTTCTGTGCATTTATTTATTTATTCCTTATTTCTTTATCTTATAGTATTATTTTAGCTATTATCCTTTTGTTTATAATAACATTATTATTTGATGAACACGTTAGAAAAGAATAATAAAACAAAGTTTGAAACACGTTTAGCGCATTTTAGAACAAAGTTATGAGCACATTATGTTTCCGTATCTTAAAACACGTTTTCAGAGCGAAAATGTTCATCGAGCTGCATATGACATGGATTGGTACAAGCTAAATCATCGAGATATGCAACTTATATTGTTGTTATTACAAAGATCGCAAAAAGAATTGACACTATCAGCCGGAAAATTTGTTAATCTTTCCGTGGAAGCGTTTGCCAATGTAAGACTCAAATTATTAAATCCATTTTATATGTTAACCATTTTAATTAATGAAAATATTAAATTTTTCCTATATTTCAATTTCATTCGTCATATTGAATATAATTTCAATTTTTAGATACTTAAAGCTTCGGCATCATACATTTCAATATTACTGGCTATGTCCTAACATTGCGAAAAATATAATTACTTATATCAAGGGACGAGGATAATGAATGATACAAAGAGGCGGTGACTAGACTGCGGAGTTTATGTGAAACACTATAAAATAAATGATTTCACTGAGGTACATTTAGGACACGTTGTTAAAGGTACAAATTGTTATTCATGATGGTTTACATAAAGATCCACTGTTCAATTGTTACTACAACAACTGCTATTAGTAGAGATTAACTCTGCAATAATTACCTAGATGTGTTATAGGAAATCAATAAAAGTGTTGAAAATATATTTCATTGCTTGAATCGAGTCTCGAACATTCTTTTCAATCACTTTAAAAAATAAATGAGACATCGCATAAATAATTCACACAATACAAAAGGAGCAGTTAATTGATTGGGTAAAATGAAGAAAAAGTGCGTGTCCTAAGAGAAGTTTTATTTATTTAATTGTCTACGGAAAAATGCAGACGGCTCACAGTGGAAGAGAAAACTAGTTGTCTCAGGAACAAAATTACTGCAATTTGCTGCAAGCGTGTATGGTCTGCGGTCTTTAAACACGGTGCATTGTACTATAGTTTGCACTGTGTGTGCTCTTTCGAGTCCGCAGAACTTCTTCTCTAACGGAAGCACAACGATAGCTTGCTAAATAATTTATAGCGTCTGCAGTAGCAAAGAATCTCTCTTGGCCTGACATAACGGTATATAATGGGAGACGATTTTCTGAAAATTCGTATTCATTTTCTCTCATGTTTTTGATCATTTGATCAACACTTGATCCATTGATAGCTTTCAACAGCATAAAACCTACTGTCAGTGTGAGCTGGGAATGCAGATTAGTATTTTTCGGTCACATTCCATGCGGCATTTAGAAACATTCACTACACAAACCCATTTGCATCGGGAGATTAACACGTTCAATCTACATTGTTTGTGCATCTGCTAATGCGCCCCCCCCCCGTAGGGTTGTCAATAAGCGCAGTAATCTAATCAGTACTCTCGATAAAGAATAGTTTTAGCAACACATTGGTGAATCATGGTGAATCACTATCGGTTTTCACATAAACACGAGACTGTGATTCAGAGTAAGCATACACGCAAGTACAATTTGGTACAGATACATTGGCATTTTTATAACGGAGTTTGTTGATCGTCCCATTTTGAGATAAAAATCCAATGCAGCTAGATAGAATCTATTGTTCGTATCTAGCCGCTATGAGTCGTCGGGACACACGTGTTTTTTGCTTTCACTGAATAGATCAGGGCTCAAAACAAATGAAATTATAAAAACGAGAAAATAAATAGAAAAAAATCAAAATTAATGTCTCGATCTAACACATCCTCGAGAAATATTTTTTAACTGGTGAGGTTTGCGTAGATTGAAGTAAAAATGATGGCATCAACTGGTGAAAGTTTGAAGAAAATTGTCTGGTTACGTGTAACAGTGGGAAAATTTTTGCTTGATCGAACACATATCGGTTAATACAGATATATTACTTGCACGATTATAGGCGTAACAGGTGTTACCTGTGTGCTATATAACTGAAAAGTATTTTTAGAATGTACCGTTGTACAGCGAGAGCAACGGCACACGAAAGTGCTACCTGTTATCGGTGCAGCTGCAATTAGGAACAATGACACTGGTCACTGTTGTCTGCCTTTCATGTTACCGACACTTTTATGTATCGACTGGTTCATGTTCTTTTGTCTGGTTCTTTTGTTTCCTTTGCATCGCAGCACGAACTGTTTCCGACAGTTATTTCGATGTTCAGAACATCGGAAATCAAAAGCATCGGCATATTTAAGACTATATACATCCATTTTAAACAAATCTCTATCGTATTGTGTTCTGAATCACCGTCTTGGAATTACCTACATACTTTCTAGGAGTGGCATAATTGCAAATAGCAGATAATGACAAAGAGGTTCGAACGAAAAATGAAACACGATTCATATACAATTGATTATGAATGTTCTTTTTTTAGATAATTTAGTAACAAGTGTTTAGTAGCAGTTTGTAAATTACGAGCAGACTTAAAAGTGTTTTTTGAACGTTTACGGTGTGAAGGGAAAGCTTTCAAAGTGAATGTACCATCTTTCCAAATAAATCATCATAAATCTCGCGCGATGGTAACGATGTGATGCTCTGTTTCATGTCTCCGCGTTCTAGTACAATCTAGTAAAAAAAAGTTTTCACGTAGATCTACCAGCGAATAATAAATTATGCATTTCATGTATTTCTTACTTGTTTTTAATTTAGAATGATAAACTCTGTACGTGTACTGCTACTACTATTATTATTACTACTACTGCTACTACTCCATACTTCTCTATTATACCTACACGTTTCCTAAGATGATCTATAAATCTAAGCGCAAACTAAATCTAGCACTGTACCCAAGTCATTTAGTCTCATTCCATTCTTTTATGTTCCACCTACGCATTTTTGTCATTCGCAATCTACCGATTAGTTTGTATAACCGTGGTTGCAGTCTTATCTTCTATAACCGTGGCGTACTATCTCATTCGCCGAATTTTAGGCATAGAGAAAAATATTCTCCGATTAACTGTTTCATATTAAAAATTAAATATGTCGCAAAATTGAAAGTACATTAACAGAAGAATTAATCTTTAATTCTTGGTTCTACATGTTCCTGGTAACATGGTCCGTTAACCAATCAAACTGCTTGTATCAGCTTTTTGAATCGGCAACTGACTTTCTGGCTAATCTGTGTTTGCATATCACACCGAGGGAATAAGGACGGCCGCAGTTATCGCTGTCGGAGCGAAGGGTAGAGAATTCGTCGGGCAGCGCTAACGCGTACGCACGTATCTACGTGAGCGAGATTTTTAAATAATTACGAAGGTAGAAGTACGGTTTTCAGAATGACGTTCCGCGACATGACGACAGTGTCTGTGACCGGCGCGGCGCACTGACTCATCGATCAGTACACGTCCGACCGTAGCACGGTTCAGCTCGCCTTTCCGTTCCCCGATCGTCAAATGGTGTTCAACTCGGTGTTCCGTGGTTGTTTACCGTGCTGCCTGTGCTGCGATTCAGGCGACCCAGCGCGAATCGTGTCAACGACTGCCTTTTTGTGAGTGGACCGTTCTTGTGCCCTGTTTTTCTCGGATACAAAGTCCCTGGACACCGACCACTGCTCCGCATATCGGCTACGTCGACATGGTAAGTGTTGGTAAACATCTGATTGGTTGCGAGCACAATGCGGGTTTCACGCATCTCTCGCTGTATTTCGAGCACGGAGGATTGAACGAATTTGGAAATGTCCGGCAAAGAATTTGAGATACTTCAAAATAATTAGAAGAAGAAATCGGATTCTACGTCTGCTTCAATTGATGAAGAATACTTTTTTTATTCGCACAAACATTGGTAGCTAAAAAGGATGGTAGAAGTATTGAAACAATTTGGAAATTCTGTTACAAAACGTTTAACACACGATTAGGTGCGGAAATTGGGTCGTATTTAATTCTTATTCGCACCCATTGGTGAATATTTCGATTTTCGTGAGAACAATTAGCAGATAAAATTTGAAAGAATATGGAAATGGTACTAAAAAATTGACGAAATTATTGAAGGAAGAATGAAATTCTGTTTCGTATAAATGGTGCAGAAAATTCATAAATATCCGCGCAGTCTTGGTATGAATGAAATGTTATCGGAATAAAAATATTAGCATTTAATTTTCTAATGAAAAGAAACAAATAGAGAATGATTGACAAGACAATTCGAAGGTCTCAAATAAATATATGACTTTGAATGAAGATAAAATGTAATTTCGAACGTAGATATTCACTTATCAGATATGATAAACTTAGGATGATAAGATGTAGCTTGGTTTGCAGTATCAGTTATTG